GTCCACTGCAGTTTCCTGCAGTGAAACAACTTCAAAAGGAGCAGAGGGAGTTTGTGCTCAGTTTGATGTGAAGGTCCCTGTTTAAGAATAGGTGTTTGGCTTCATTCAGGCTGCAGACAAAACTGAAGCCAGATCTGATTATCCAGAGTAAAAAATCCAAATCAAAATGAAGGATATTAAAGCCACCAACTTGTCGAAAAATTTTCCTAACAATGACTCATCCATGTAGCATGAAGGTTGTTTTTTATGTGCCTACAACCTACGTAGGAGCTACGACTAACAAGATCTGGGCGCCACATTAGAGGCCAGTCAGTTAAAAATTATTTTTAGTCTGGGAAAAAAAGCATCAATCCCAGCTTCACATCTGAAATAATGGCTTCTGAGCTGACTGCTGCCACTCAGGAGTAAATTTTTGAGGTATTTCAGATAATTTCATGAGGCATCATTCAGTACACAGTTGGAGTCAGAAAAGCAAAGGTTATGTTGGAGATTCTTAGAAAAGGCCTAGAGAGCAAAACAGAGAAAGTGATTGTATCACCAGGTAAATCCAAGGCTCACCTACACCATGAATGCTACAGGCAGATCTGATTCCCTCACTTCAGAAAGGATATAGCAGAAATGGAAAAGAGTAAAAAAGAGCAAAAGGAATGACTAAAAATATGAACAGTTGCTGTACAAAGATCACTTGAAGATCACTCTGATAGGGAGACAGTTCAGGGGGCATATGATGCAGGTCTGAAAAACCATGAGTAGCACCAAAAGTTGAGCAAATATTGACAGATCTCTGTCTCTACCAGTGCAAGAAATAAGAAATGATAAATGAAGCTGATAGGAAACAAGTTCAAAACAAACTGAAGGGGGTTGTTCATCAAACACCAGGAAATAAATCAGAAAAACCCTTTGCCAAAGGGCATTATGCATATAAGGAACTGGCATGGATTCAAGGGGAGATCCAGCAAAGTACTTGAGAGAGAGATAAACTGGAGGCTACTATATTAACTGCTATGGCTTGCCAGGCTTGAGATGAAAATAGCTGCAGGCTGAGGCAATAGCAGGAGGAATATCACAGAATCACAGAATGGTTGAGATTGGAAGGGGCCTCTAGAGATCATCTAGTCCAACCCCCCTGCTCCAGCAGGGAAACCCAGAGCCCATGGCACAAGGTGGCATCCAGGCGGGTTTGGAAGATCTCCAGAGAAGGAGCCTCCACAACCTGTCTGGGCAGCCTGTTCCAGTGCTCTGTCAGAGACTTTGTTGTTACTCTTTGCTAGACACCTACTCGAGGGTGGTATGGGAAATCAGATTCTGTATTGAATGGATGTCTGGTCTGAATCACTAAAGTCATTTTAATTTTCTTATGTTCCCTCTGCCTTGTGTTAGATGGAAACAGTCTATGTCGATCCCAAGCAAGAGAAACTGTAAATATTCATTATTGCTATCAATGATGACTCAGTCAATGCTCATGAATGACTGACAGATGACAGGAGAAATTTCTCCTAGTTCAGTCCCACCTGCTTTTTAGCACTTAGTAATTAATTCCTTAGAGAAAATATTAATGGAAAGAAAATAGCTTTATTACTCCAAGGAAGTGCTGGAGAGAGGAGCAAGAAATGCAGCAAGAAAAACAAAGAAAGAAAAAAAAAAAAAAAAAAAGATCAGAAGCCCAACCTGCAAAGTGAAGTCTCCATCCAGAAAAGGGGCATTGTCCTAGGAAGGCACCTGATGGGAAGAAACCCGGATTCAGCTACTGTAGGTAGCACTTTCCTGAGTGTTAATTAACTATAAAAAGGGGGAGGGCGAGCATACAAGGAGAAGCATAAGAAACTTGTTTCTGTCCTACAGAGTCAAACTGTAGAGAAGCAGCTTCTTAAAACTGCCCTAACCAATTTGAATGACACAAAAATTCTCCTAAAAGCTCTGAAAAAAAATTTAGTCATCAGACTAATAAGAATAATAAGAAATTGCTGAAAGTGACTGCTCAAATCCTTATCTTTCTCAAAGACAAATAGGAAAGTGCGAGGATTTTTCTAAAATTTTCTGAAATAACCAGAAATGATTCAAGATATATTAAGATTTAACATGGGAACTAATCCTGCAATCAGGGCTTTCTTCACCTCTACAATGAGCTCACTGGCTGTCTGTCTTCTCTGGAGAAATATTTAGTTACTTCATGCTTTTCAGATTCATCAGTTCTTCAAGGCTGAGACCACAGTATTCTCTGAAAATCACAATGCGCACCTACAGTATTACAATTTATACCAGTTAGCAAAGCTATTATTTAGTAGATAGTAAAACAACAGATACTAAAACTAAAATCTTTCCTCTTACACAACTTTTATATCATAGGTTATAATGACACCTGATACATCATTAATATGTTTTCCTAAGTTCTTCCTCCACAAAAACATGCCCTCTTGTTACTGTTGTTATTATACAGATGGACCTTTCAAAATGTTGCTAACAACCAACAACCAGAATATATTGGATGGGAGAAAAATACTTGGTGCTGTGAGAGAAAATAAGCCCTTTATACATCTTATGTTCCTGCTCACATTAAACCCCCCCAAAAAGAAAAGATCTAAACAGTCCTGCTTTCAGGAGCTACATCAAGACCTGCAGAGTGACCCAGGTGCATTCCCGAGCTCCACCTGGGGATGAGCCCCAGCTTCTGCTGGCTCCGGCATGGCCCGGGGGACCTTTGGTCACCTGGGCTGCAGCACCGTGAGGGGCTCCTCGTCCTGACACTGCAGGGAAGGGGAAGGGCCCGCGGCGGGGGCTGCGTGTCAGGCAGGGACACGGCCAGTGCCCAGGCAGAGGCATGCAGGACCACGCATGCAGGATGAACGCATGAATATTACAATGTATTAATAATATCATCTACCGTTGTAGATAACAGCAGTGGCACGCGCCCCATCAGCAACGGCAACAGGGACTAGCGATGGCGCGCGGGGCACGAGGGCGCAGGGAGCCCCGGCCGCCAGCAGGGCCTTCTGCCGCCTGGG